TTGCAATGCAGGGAGGTCATGGGAGGGTTGACACATAGCCTTATGAGCGCATGTGTTCAGAGACAAACCGGGAGCTCAGCAGAAGATATTCTTAACTGCCCCTATACCCCAACTTAACAGGACGAATCCAAGATCGTTCTTTAAGGCTTGCCAGGTTTTAACGGGACGGAGACAGACAAAGCATTAGCCTGAAAGCCGTCTGGGTCAGATTTCACTCCAGCCCATATTGGTAACAGAATAATTCATCCACCAGCCCATGTCATCATATCCAATCGTTTGCTCCAGTATACCATAATCAGAATCTTACTGGTATCGATCCTGATGCCTTTTCTTATAAGCTTCCTCCATTATTATATCATCATATCCAATCGTTAGCTGTTGTCCAGTATGCCGTAATCAGAATCTTACTGGTATCGATCCTGATGCCTTTTCTTATAAGCTTCCTTCATTATCATCTCTCGTATGCGGATTGTGATGCGACAGGCGTCCCTAACATGGTATACAGACGTTGCGCATTTTCAACTCCCTCGTTGGCGCATCAATTGCTCTCACATTGGAGGCAGACATTGTGCGCTTACGCGTCCCTCGATGCCATCCGGGGATGGTGGATGCTTAGTTAGAGCCGGCGTCTACTCGGCTCAGCTTAGGGGCTTCTCAGGGTTTCTGTGACCTTTTAAACCACACCCTCCGGCGCCTAGCTGGATTTTAGTCGCCTCTTACGACAGGCATGCCTTACCACGGGAATATTCTAACCCCTATCCCGCAGGGGTACTTTATATATATGAAAAATATAATATGTAATGATATATTATTTACATAATTAGTATACACAATATATATATATATAAAATATATATATATAGTTATATATATATAAATATATGTACATCAAGTAAAATTCATATATATGATGATATGATGTATACATATATATATTTTAATACATTGTATGCACTAAAAGCTCTTAAATTAGAACTATATATGTATGTATATATATATATGTATATATATATATATGTATATATATATGTAATCATATATATCATCATATATCATTTCATATATACAATTATATATAAATAAAGAGGTTTTCGAACAGAAGTGAAACAACAACAAAAATTTATTTTTTAAATTATTTTAAATAATTGAATTTTTGGCTGATCATACAGCTGTTTCGAGTATTGCCAAATACCCTGCATCAGTGGTCTTGGAAATAATTCTTTTATTTAATTATTCGGAAATAATTATTTTTGAGACTGCAAGTACCAGGAATCGAACTCGGGTCCTGCCAAATATGAAGCTCAAAATCAGCGCACCTTAACCAATTGATCCAAAGACGTACTTGAGTTTTTATGTTCGCATATTTTTGCTGGAGTTTTGTTACTTTTGCTATGAAAGTTTTTATTAACAATTTTACTTGCTGTATTTATTAGAACGAAATCATAAACCAGCTGTAGAATAATTGAATTAATTAATTAATTATATTTTTTATTTTTAATTGTTAAATTTCAAAACTATTCTATTATATATAAATATAAATTTGAACTAATATTTTTAACTTTCGAACAACAATGAGCGGGGAGTCTCGTCCTTTACAAACTTTGTGAACTAAGAATAAATCCACTTGCAAGAAAATAAGAGATAATAGGGAAAGTTGAAAAGATACAAATCATCATTAGTCGTTAGTCGTTTAAAATTAAATTTAATCTGAGCTGATCTCTTTACCTCTTCGAATATTCCTTCTGCATGTTTCGAATAAGGGAACGTTGGAATTTTTCAAAGCCTTAAATAGGGCGTACCACAAGTATGATTAAAAAACGCTGTGTCATTTTTGGTAAAAACTTTTACAAAATTGCAAGGTAACACTTAGATTAAATAGAAATCTCAGGGAAAATTCTAAGAGACATAATTTAAAAAGTTGTTTATAAAACAATCATTGATATGTATTTATTTTTACCTAAAGATCCTAAAGAAAAATTCAATACTTTGTTAGTTCAGTTTAGGTTTATATACCTTATATATGAAGAATTCAAAAAAAAAATCATTTCGCATTTTTATTCGAAATCGCAAACATCATAAGACTCATTAATGTTTCTAAAATGTTGGCATCAAAATAACTATCATTATTATAGAAAAATTTAGTTATATGTATATTTCTATTAGACACACACTTTCTTGGTTTATGGAAACAATTTATAGGCGGCGCCACCACACTAATTAGTTGCTTTACTTAGAAAATCAAAATTATTGCAAGGCATTGATTCTAAAATATTGTATGAACACTGAATTGTGAAATATACTCATAATATATACGTACATATATAATACATAAGTACACATAAATAACAATTTGGGTATTACTTTTCTACACAATAAACTGCATGTATTCAGAAACACAATGGTTATCTAACAAAATAAGTTATCAAACACAGATATATTGTATTAAAATTATATTTTACCGATCTAGCCAACTGCGTATGCAAGGTAGATGAAATACATGTCCACAAGTTGTACGGTATATATCTACGCCATTACGGAATTTTTCATGGCAAATAACACAACTCATATATTCTTCGTGTATTTTATTGACAATTTTTCACTGATCACACTTCTAAAAACTGATCAGTTCTTCTATACATTAGAACTCCGCGCAGTACCAGATCTAATAAAGCAATAGGACACGACTTTGCTCACTCACAAGTTGCCTCCACTCAGGGACAAGCTGGCAAGCTGGCTGCCTCACACACAATGTGCTATGCGAAATAACTTCGGCACAAACACCGAATTGGTGTGCGAGTTTTATTTCACTCCACCACATTCGTGTGAAATGTGCGTTTTGTTTGTGCACACAAGATGTGCACTTAAGATGTGCACAAAAATTTTCGCGCACCACATTTGTGGTGTGAAATGTTATTTAGAACCGCACAACATTTGTGCGTGGTGTTTTGTAGTTTTGTGCACAGCACAGTGTTTTTCTGAACCCTGTATATAAGTTAATAATCAATATTTGTTATTGCAGCTGAAAAATGAGAATTTTGAAAAAATGTTCTATCCATATTGCCATCATTTAAGGTACCACATCCGCATCTTACTTCATCAATTGCAATTCTTGAATGCATATTGAATTGCTCTTTTTTGTTTTTATCAATTTTTTGTTTATTGTCATCTCTTGTTATTCTCCAAATTTTTAGATGTGATCTATATGCTATATGGAGACAACACTCAAACAATTTTATTCATGCGTGTAAAGTTGATATCCTATATCCCAAATTTTTGAAATTAATTGGCCTTTCTTCAATTCCTTCCTTCAGTTTGTTTCACACCACATAAATAACTACTTCTACAGTATTTGCCAATTTGTGCAGCCAATTTTTTTTTAAACTATTAGTACTGTAATAATGGAAATTTTGTACAAATTTCCAACTTATGTGTAAACATAACAACAAACAAACAAACTACCTGGAAGAATAGGCAAAAAATTAAAATCACTGAATTGCAAATATTTTATTGATATTACCTCAACTTATCGCGGCTGACCCACAATAATGATTCCAACAGACCCCTGTTATTGTGTTAAATGCTGAATATGAAGCTAAAATTACGAGAAATATAAGAAATAATTATAAGATTATTA